CCCCTGATCGTTTTTAGAAAAATTCTTGTGAAGGGTATTATGTAGCTTGCACTAGCTGATGGACATGCTGTGAACTCGTTGTTTAGCTGTACGTGTTGCCTATACGTCATGAGGCTTCAGTTATCAATGTTTGGCTCTGATGGCATTACTGGAGGTCTGAGATGTAAGTTGTATACAGAGTACTAATCTGTGACTATAGCTAGAAGGAAACATCATTGTATAGGTGCATAGAGGGAATTTGTGTTCTAATAATATGTGTTGATGATAATTCCGGTGAGCTTTTGTCACAAATACACTTAAAAAATGAGAGAGAGGTAAGAAATAGTTATATTCCCTGTACACAGTCGAATTACAAGTCATATACATGCTTACAGTAACAAAAAATTTTAATACACAAAAAAAAGTAAAAAATCGTAATATATAACTTTGAACATAAGCTGTATTGAGAAAGGACAAAATATAAATGACCCGTTAGGCATAACTAATAGATATACTTCATTGGCAGCATACTCAGTAATTATTCCCTCACATAACAAATACCACTGATCTTATATACATGCAGACCAATACACATAATCATCCAGATGCGATCTTGACAATCAACCAACTTTCTTCTCAGAGATGAAAGGTACAGACTACACGGCTTCACAAAACATGTCAATCAACAACGCGTGTAGTTGCGTCATTCGTCCATAGATAGACGCTCACAATGATCCTAGTGTGCTAACGTGGAATGACGGTTTGCACCCTAAAAACTACCTACTCTGCAAGGTATTTTATAGTTTTGTTTGACGTTTTATAGATTTTTTACATAATATTCGCGCGTCTTTGGTATCAGCAAAAGACGTTCTGTTATTAAAAAAAGTTCTGACCTCTATAATACTATGCATCTTTCTGACAAAGTAAGTCGTTGATAACTTCAAATTACGCGTATACACCCTCAAACGTTTATTTGTCTTGGCGCAGATCATAGGCATGTGGCGCATATTTTACCACATGGCGGAAAGTTCGGTGGCGGCATTAGGAAAATTTGACACGTTGCTTTTGATTTCTTGTATCATACGTAAATTTGATCCGTCTTTTACGTATAAAAGCAATATCAACGAAAGCTGCATTACTGGTGTAGTATTAGAGAAAGACGTGTCTAGTTCCACCAATATTACGCATAATATGGATAATATATAATATTCAGACACATATAGTCAATGATCACTGAAACTGAAATGTGGCAGGTCTACTTTTGATAGTTCGAGATAAAGAACAATGTAGCTTCACGATAAGGTAGTATCATTAGTATTATGAGTGCATGTCTGTTTTCTGGCTGCTTTTAACATTTAACAATCCGTTTCTTAATGAGTCCAGTTTCGGTAAAATAGTTATACATTATTGAAAAATTTCATCTTAAGACATGAGACAGATAAACGACTGTGAAGCACCTGCACCTTCTGTCCTACTATTCATGAAAGGAAACAACTGGAGAGTGATTTTTCTATGAAGTTATCTCGTCAACAGGCATTAAAATCACACCCACTGCCTATAAGCTATTGCTTTTGTTCTCTGTGTAATACAGGTAGTGCCTTTTTACCCTTATTTAACCAATTATGACTTCTACTTAGTTAGTTTTTTATGTAATAGTTCTATTATTTGTGAATAAGTTCTTATCGTAATAAATAACGACTTTTGCTAAGAGAGAATAATTTTGAAATATATTCTCCGTTTAGCCTAACATATCATAAAATATATCGTTTTTAGTTTATTCATATAATTATTTTTGTTGAATGCAATTATTAATTATAAATTGAATTGTTAGACGTTGAAGAGCTTTACCTTTGCGCTATGTATATGTGACTTTCAATATGAATGAATTACTTGGAAATAAAATGAAATTCTGCATCACTGTGTTTTTCGTTTGAAAAAAATAATATAAATAGATTACGAAAACTACAAAAAATTAAGTAATTTTGTTTTGCACAGTAATACAGCAGTAAATCTCATGTTACTGCTTTTTGATCTACAACAATTGAAAACGGAATGCCACTTATTTGAGGCCCCAACAATTTTCTATAAGGTCATGTAGTATTATAATATTCTAATATTTATTCACTTTTGCTCTGTTGTAGTAATACTATTTATTTGGTTAAAAAAAATCCAGAATTTCGAACTCAATATTCTCAGACTTACACTTTACCTAAGTACGGCATCGTAACACACGACATACCTCATTAAAATTGACAAACATCAATGAGCATCTTTCACTACAGCTAGAGGAGTTCAACAAGGTAGCTTAATGTCTCCAGGCTGATTTAACATGTACGGTGAGCATATAATGAGGACACCCTCCGATGACGGGAGTTCGGAATATCTAATGGACATAAAATTTCCAATAGGCGCTTCTCACCAATGATACCATATTAATCGGCGCCAATTAAACAGGAATAGTAGACCTGGTAACTAACTATTGAGTTAAAACTAAAATCATGGTGGTAGATAGATTCAATGCGCTTCATTACACTGGCGCACTGAGCTCGTTCTAGGTTGTGAATAAATTCACCTACCTGGAATCAATCGTTAGTAATAATAGCAGCTCGTAATTTCCGACTGAGTATTTCAGATGAAACCGAAATTTCCGTCCGATTTTAGTTTCGGCCGAACCGAACACAAAACTTTTAACCGCTGAGAATGATATGGGATATGGGAGGTAGGATAGTAGTGTATCTCCAAGAAAAAATAAAGTCAGACTTTATCAATTATCATTTGTAATAGTAATAGCAGCTTATTGTTGAAGAAAAAAAAGAAGCTCCTTTTAGTACGTAATAATCAGTCTTTACCAAATACTATTAAGACTTAGTTGAAGAAAGCTAAAGCCGTCCTACATTTGTCTCTTACAACAAAAAAAATAATGTCTTTCTGTTTTCAACATTTTTAAAAAAACTATAAAACAAAAATAACAACTTATGCCTGTTGCAATGATACAATTTAACATTAGTTTAAACGGAAGCCTATTTTAATTTGAAGATTTTTGTTGCACAAGTAACTAAACCCCGCATAAATTTTTCTGGACTGTGTTCAACTTAAACGATCAAATGTTGGAGTTTAAAGATCGTCTAATTAATAATATTAAACGACTTCATTAACAGAATTAAATGATTACAGTATTAGTATAGATTGATTTTATTGGCCATGATGATATCTTAAACGATGATTTGTGTATTTATGAACTAATAAATAGTGGTTATAGATAAGTTATTCAAAGGTCGGAAACAAAAACTTTCCAAGAGATTAGTAACCATGGCATTTTTAGGAAATATAGTATGTGCAAACAACCTGTTTCGAATATTCTGCCTGAAATTGAGTTTGAACTTTGGCTCATCAGTGACTTGTAAATGAGAAAACATTCGAACGTAGTTTCGGTTTCGGTTGCTGTTGCAGCTGAAAACCAGAGAATGAGAACAAAAACACGATGAGAAGATTGATTCGGATATGGAGGGACCGCTCAGGGAAATACAACCAAGAGAAAGTACAAAACCTGATTCCTTTCACCTTTTTCTACGGAGCTGGATGCTGGGTAATCTGAAAAGCTGAAAGCGGCAACAAATAATAATAATAATAATAATAATAATAACAATAATAATAATAATAATATCAATATTAATATATTCGGTATCTACTATTACAACTGCATGAGCATGTCACACAAAAATACTCGAATAAATAAAGTACCCACAGAAAGGATCATACATTCCTTGTGCGTGGGTGGTAATTCCTAACTAATGCACAATACATGCAGAAAATAATATTGTACAATAACTGAACATATGAATAAAGAAATAAAAGAATACTAAATGAGGGAATGCTTTAATTATCGTCAGTGATACGATAAGCAAACAGATACACAAGAAAAAATAATACATTTGTGGAAACGATACAGTGATTGATTGTATGAGATTATGGGCTGGTAAGTATGTTTAGGAAGCATCTTGTCTATTTCACATCATTTTATTGCTATGTCTCAATCAGGGAATAGATTTGTCATAATTACGTATTTTGTTGTTCCATTATTTTATTGTTCTTTATATCAATCGCATTATGGAGGAGTGACCGTTTTTTTGACAGTATCCATTTCTTTAAGTCAGTTTTGAATCTATTTATATTATTGTTCCTGTTTATTTCTGGTGGTAGTAAATTATAAGGTATTGGATCTAAGAATGCGTAGAATCTTTGTAATATATTTTTTTTGGTAATGGTACTCGTAAGTTGTCCTTGTTTCTTGTGTCGTAACTATAAGTGGTGTAATCTACTGCGACCTTGTTTTTTTGTGATGTTCTGTGACAATCTGGAAGAAGCATGCTTCGAATGTCAAGTATCTTAGTTTCTAGATAGACCGTATCGCTGGGGTAAGTCATTGGTCGATTATATATTGTCTTGACTATCAGTTTCTGGATTTTCTCTAGCTGATCTATATGAGTCTTGTGAGCAGATTCCCAATCTATTATACCATAATTGATGTGGCTTTTGAATAATGCGACATATATAAGTTGCTGTAATGTTAGGTAATGCTTAAGGTGTTCAATTTTATAGATAAGATATCTCAGTTTTCACACTACATGTTCAATGTGAGGGTCACAGCAAAGGTGTGCATCCATAAGAACCCCTAAATGTCTTATCTTCATGGTTCTGGTAGTTGTTTCACTATTGTAGGTACTGATATTTAGCTTTTCGTAGGCCGGTACATATTTGGGACACCATAAAATATGTTTTGTCGTAGTTAATGGTTAGTAAGCGAGATCTGAATCAATGTACGATATTACTAAAATCTTGCTCACATATTAACTTTAAGCTTTCCCAATGCTTTGCTTTATAGATGACGACTTATTATTTCAGCAGCAGTTGGTAGGCTGTACAGGTCGCTAACACAGATACTAATAACAGCGGTCCTAAAACCGTGCCCGGAGGAAGACCACAATTCACTATATGTGAACTGCTATAACATCCATTATATATTAGTACATTGTTACCTTTCCTGTAAATAACTGTTAAATAATTTGTGAGCCACTCCCCTTATCCCTATATGCCACATGGCATCAAGTAATCGTGAATGGTCCACGGTGTCAAATGCATTTTTAAGGTCTGCAAATATCCCAAGACTGCTTTTATCGATGCAGTGGCTTATTTTAGATGTAAGTATACTAAGCGACATATAAATCCGAACACCCAGTTTAAATGGTTTTATTTTAATTAAATTTTGTCTAAGTATTTAATGAAGCATAATAAGTAAGTGATAAAAATTTCAAAATGATTCCACTGCTTTAAAGCCCTTTGACCTTTAATAATGTGTGGATGCACCCTGATGTGCTACGCATTCTCCAACGCGCCTAGGCATGCTTCTGATCAGGTGGTCAATGTCCTCCTGTGGTATCTCATTCCAGGCAACCACCACCTCCTCTCGAAGTGCTTCTAGAGTCTGAGGAGGACGTTGCAAATTGAGCAATCTCCTACCCATCATATCCCACACGTGCTCAATTGGGGATAAGTCGGGAGATCTTGGTGGCCATGGTAACAATGTGACATCATTATGTTGAAAGAAGTCTATTGTGACTCTTGCAACATGTGGTTGGGCATTATCTTGTTGGAAAGTTGGATCTGCCAGGGTGTCAAGATAGGGTAAAAGATGGGGTTCTAGAACTTCGTGGATATAACGCTGCGCGTTCATGTTACCTCTGATGAAGATTAAAGATGACCTGGAACCATAAGCTATAGCACCCCAAACCATAACTCCAACAGTGTGATGAACATTTCTTTCAACAAAAAACTGTGGATTCCTCCTTTCACCACGTCGCCTTCTAACCCTGGCACGACCATCGTGCATGCCTAAACAAAATCGAGACTCGTCACTAAAGACAATACTGTTCCATTCCTGATCCCAGAGTGACCGTTGTCTGCACCACTCAAGGCGATTACGTCGGTGTTCTCGAGTTAAAGGGAGGACCCAGTGTGGCCGATATGAAAACAAGCCAAAACTTATCATTCGTCGGTAAACACTTCGCATGCCAATAGGTCTTCCGTGTTCTGCAAACCATTCATTTGCAATGGACCTGGTAGTGGAGAAACGGTCAAGGCCAATAATCTTAGGCGGCGATCTTCAAGGTCTGTTATTCTACGGCGGCGTCCAGTGCCCCTTGCTCTTTGCGTACGGCCTCCTCGAAGCCATGCCTGACAACACCTAACCACAGTGTCTACACTTCTTTGCACTCTAACTGCAATTGCCCGAAAAGAAGGTCCAGCTTCCCAAAGTCCCACTATACGGCCCCTATCAAACTCACTAAGTTGACGAAATCGTACAGGTCTCCGTACTCTAGGCATCGTAACCGATCGTAAAGAATGTCAAGAACCAAAATCCGCCAACGTTGATTCTTTACTGCGGCTGAAATATTTATTTTTAGAGCGTTAGTGAATTAAAAAAAGCAGTATAAAAACCGGAATGTCCAACTGATAAGGCTGAAAATTTTTTCACTTCTTATTTACAGTAAGGTGAATAGATTCACCAACTTTTATTAAAATAAAACCATTTAAATTGGGTGTTCGGATTTATATGTCACTTAGTATATTTTTGCATTAGAAATCTGGGGTTACAGCTAAAATAGTTGTACCAAATTTAGCAGGCATTGAACATAAGGTTCTATAGATCTTTTAGAAGCGCTAAAGATGCAGACTTGTCAACTGTGTTTGAGATCACGCCTCCGAGACATTGAGGAAACGACTAGAGAAAGGGAGGGATATAAAGTGATCATCTTCAAAACTATTTGCAATAGCCAGATTCAATTGAGTGGATTCGCTGGGATGAGTACTCGATGATGAGTACCTATATATTCCTTGATAGAATTTGCATTTCATGGGAATCCATTATTATAGTATCATTTACATCACAACCAAAAAGTGCATACTGTCAAAACAGTTCGATATATGAACTCAATACTTCGTTAACGTAGCCTACAATGATCACTTGTTCCACGATCAACAACATTCATCAAAGCATCTTCAAAAAAGTCTATAGCGGAGCATGGGGCTCTCCCTCATATTTATCAGAAATTCGCTATAGAGATAAAATATACACGAAGCATATCATTATTATTTGACTTACCTATCACAGTGAGGTTGACCTTACTATTCCTCGTCTGCGCGATCTTGAAGTCAACTCTACATCTGTAGACCGATTGGTCTGTCTCGCGGATGTGATCGATCCCGAGCTCTGCTGGCTTTTTCTCTGGCATGAAGTACGCTCTGTTTGCAAAAACGTTTTCGTCAGACCACCTTTCGGCCAAACTGAAGTCCCTTTCTCTACCGTCCACGCTGAAACAGAAGAAAATATAATCAGAGGGATCCATAGTTTCAGATTTTCGATCCTGAAGCCAATTTAGGACAGTGACCTCAGTGGTCATCTGGAAGTTAGGTTTGTAATTAAATATAGTAACCACTATTTATCTTCTAGGTCGTATTTGGGATGATCGGATGGTTGCTTTTTTGATTTTTTGAAACTTTTATCAAGACCTTTTTCCCAAAAAATTGTTCAGGTATTGCTAAAAAACAGGGACAAATTAAATACGACAAAGAAACGAAAGTAAATACGTATTAACGGTACAGCATATTATCAACTCTGCTTAATTTTAGATTTTGGGAACAAAACAAAACAAAACATAATACCATATTCTGTCCATCAAGCTACAGCTACAGTGGCGGAATACCTGATTCTGAGGATAGTGGGACATCCTGCATGAGTTTTACTCGGCTTTCCAAAGTGGTTGACGTGATTCAAGTAGATCCTTGGCTAAAAGAAAATGCTTAGTTGAGCATAATAAGGAAATTCATACTATTATATTATAGCCACTATACTGAATGACAAAAAAAGGCAAACACCTACGTATGCTTATCCGATTTTAATAATATCTTTTTTTTTTTATACTCCAACTACCACGAAGGCCTAAGGTCTAAGCACCCATTGGGTACCGTGGGGCTATGGGGGATACATGGGAAAGGGGGGACGCCACACGGACTCTGGCGAGGGAACACGTGTGCATGCAACATGCACACATTCTGGCTCCGCCTACGAGAACCGCCGGGTGGTACCTCCGCGTTCGACAGTCAGAGACCATCTACCACCTACGGACAATCACAACATCCATGGCCAAGAGAAACATTTCTCCTGGGACGGGACTCGAACCCGCACAGCGCACGGCGGCTGATCAGGAGACCGAAGAGTCTACTACTGTGGCCACCGCTGCTGCCTAAAACAAACACACAACACATATCACTGGACAACAAATTTTAGTTTTTTCATTGTATCTTGTGGGAAAAGTGCACTTCTTTGTTAATTTTGGGGCGTTGAACCCAAAAATGACAATAAAATAAAAAAATTAGTTGCGGTTTAGAAAAAAAACTTTTTATTTTTAAGGATATATTAAAACAAGTAACAAGATTCATATACTTATAAGAATCACTATATGCGCTGTCTTTTTGCTGTTCTTTTATGGATCGTTTCTGGAGCATCTCTACCAAGAGTCCAACAGTAGTCTGCAAGCATGGAAGGATTCCACTTTCCCTGGTACCTTTTTTCCATTGTTGAAATATCCTGATGAAAACGTTCGCCGTGCTCATCACTTACGGCTCCTCAATTGTCAGGAAAAAAGTCCAGGTGTGAGTGTAGGAAATGTATCTTAAGAGACATATTACAGCCCATCTTTTGATACGATGACAGCATATTTTTGACAAGGGTTTTATAGTTGTCAGCTTTTCTATTTCCCAAGAAATTAGTGACCAGCAGACGGAAATCATTCGAAGCAGTTTTTTCAATACCTGTTAAAGTGTTTTCAAACTGTGTATCTTTCAAAATATTTCGAATCTGTGGCCCAACAAAAATACCTTCTTTAACCTTTGCCTCACTTAGTCTTGGAAATTTCTGACGCAGGTATGCTGACCCATCTCTATCTAATGCCTTGACAAAGTTTTTCATTAGGCCCAACTTGATATGCAGTGGTGGTAATAAAATTTTTTTCGAATCTACTAATGGCATATACTGTACATTTTTTTGACCTGGCTCTAGGAATTGACGAACAGGCCAGTTTTGTCTGTTGTAATGAAGTGCCTTTGCCCGACTGTCCCATTCACACAAAAATCAGCAAAACTTTGTGTAGCCTAGCTGCAGCCCAAGTAAAAGTGCAACAACTTTCAAATCGCCACAAATATGCCATTGGTGCTCATCGTATTTTATGCATGTCAATAGGTACTTCATATTGTCATATGATTCTTTCATATGAACTGCATACCCTACAGGAAGAGATGGTAAAATATTTCCAATATGCAATAACACTGCCTTTAAACTCAATGTTGAACTGTCTATAAACAATCTCCATTCTTCTGGGTTATAGTTTATATTTAAAGCCGCCAGTAAGCCGTTAATGTTACTGCAGAAAACCAAGTTGTTCTCCATATTGAAAAATGGTTATAAGTCTTTGTGGCGTTTACGAAAAACACATACCGAAACATCGTCTTCTAACAAGTTCCACTGCTGCAGTCTTGATCTGAGTAACTCTGCCTTATATTTTGGAAGTTCTAAATCTCTTACAAGATCATTTAATTCTGACTGTGCTATTTTGTGCGGTTGGTGGCATGACGTGCTGGATATAAAATCAGGATCTCTTGACGTTGGTGGCATATCTTCTTCCTGACGAATCACTCGATCGCCATGATCTGATTCGTTTTCTGATTCGCAAGTGTAGGATTCTGGGGGTTTTGAAATAGGATTTTCGTCACTGTGAGGCACAGGTCTCATCGCAGATGGTATGTTTGGGTAGTTAATAACCGATTTTTTTTTCTTGGACATACCTGTGGCTTGTCCAACACAAGGTACCATGCAAAAGTAACAATCGTTAATATGATTTGTAGGCTCTCTCCAAAACATTGGGACAGCAAAGCGCATAGACCGTTTTTTGCCATTTAACCAGCTCCTCAGACTTGAAGCATATGTATTACAGCAGATGTGGGGTGCCCACAGTTTGTCTTGATCACCTAGTTTACAACCGAAGTAAAGCTGATATGCCTTTGTTATTAGTGGAATAATAGACCGCCTCTGAGACGCAAAAGTCACATCACCACACACGTAACAAAACTGGATTGTTTACACACTTTCGAGACATCTTGCATGAACGCTGTCAGCCAACTGAGGAAAAAATGGCTAATATAAAACAATATAATGTACACGTACGTATAACGTAACACAATCATGCCGATTACATCATCTTTCCTTGCCGAATATAAAAATGTAGCACGTGCATTCTTGTGAATTACAGTATATTAACACTGTCACAGCAGGAACACATATAATTACCGTATCTCTAAAACTTAAACTAATATTGAAAAAATAAGTTTCATTCCGGTTTCAGCACATTAAAAATAGTAATATTTTGTTGATTTTATTTAGGATATTTTTTGGCTGTTGATCAGTGTATTTGGCGTTTATGTTCAGTGTCCCTTACTAGTAAGATGATTACATTTTCAGCTTGATTCGTCAACTGACTGCAGAAGCTGGTTCAACAATCTGTTGAGAATTCAGGATTTCGTATACACTGATTGACACGCCTGGGCATCGTGCTGGACGGTGTTTAGGTATGAAATAAGATGAGGCTCCACTACTTCCTGAATATAGCGTCATATTGCCTCTGATGAAAATTATTGGTGATCTGAGAGAAGAGAAATAATTATATTCACTATACACTGTCGAATTACAAGCCTTATATGTGCAGTAATTACACACAACGCGGGCGCGGTGATGATTTCCCGTAATTCTCCTCAGTTTTTCGTTATTTATAACTTTGAATATAACTCCTCTTCAGAAAGCATACCATAAAAATAACCCGTCGGGCACAGCCAATAGATATACTTCATTGGCAGCGTATTCAGTAATGATTTGTCTCACATAGCAAATATCACTGATTTTATCCACATGCAGACCAATACACATAATGATCCAGATGCGATCCTGTTATTCAACCAGCTTTCTTCTCAGAGATAAAAACTATAGTCAAGGACCATTATTTGACCTCACAAAACATATGCAACCAATACTGCGTGTAGGTTAGTTGAGTGATTCCTCCTTAGATGGACGTTCACAACGATCCTAGTGAGCAAACTGGAATGACTGTTTGAGTCCTAAAAACTAACTAGTTTGCAAGATGACATTATATAGTTTTTTTGACGTTTTATAGGTTTTTTATATGATACCCATGCCGGTCATTTTTTCTCTACACCAGAGCAAACAGTTACACCGATGTTCAGCTTTAAGAGGTAGCACCCGGATTTGGAAGTATTTTAATGAACTTGATATTCATAGCTTTTTTGGGTGTACTGAGCTTCGTCCATATAGTTTCCTAGCTCTTAAATCGTATAGTAACCAAGGCTACTATGTTTTCATTGCATTATTGATCGCCAAAATTGTGAATTTTTGGCTTTTACTTTTGGCTGGTTTGCCTGTCAAAGTATCAGGCCAATACATCGGCATACATTCTTATCCTGTAAAGGATATTCGAGTAGCTGTTCGTACATGCAGAAATGTTATCTGTGCTGCAATGTGGATGGTTCAGGTATCGCTAAGGTCCGTCAAAGAAACGTAAGTAAATATTTATTAAAAATGAATGATACGAAACATTATCTCCATCAATCAGTAACTGTCTGAAACACTAGGATTGTACGGAACCCTCCCACTTTTATATGTTTTCGTAGAAAAATACGAATTCAATGTGAACTGTCAAAAACCGTTCAAGCCTGATAGACTACTTGCTATGACCTTGCATCCCAACTACTGACTGCGCAATTTTGGCTACAAACAAATTATTAGCATGCTACCTCTACCTAGCCTGAATTCGTTAAGGAGGGCTCTTATTGTGCAGGGTGGGCAGAAGAGGTCAAAGGTAGCTTAGTTGCCAGGATTGACCTCTCCAAAATGTTTCTACTACTATACCCTAATTGTAGTCCATTTAAACCCCGCACAACAAAGATACAGCACGGTAAAGCGGCAGCCGCCTAAGCGTTGCAATAGCTATTGGTCATTCAATATTTATCCAAATGCTTCCTTCAGCCATGCTTCCTCTTCAGTGATGTCTCCTACCCGAAAACGTGACAAGAAGGGACATTTGAATACTCAGGCAAAAGAAATTGTCCTTAACGTTTATAAGAGCGAAATTTTAGAGCATCCTAAAATGAAAATTTATGATATTGACAAACTTATGGCAAACAAAACAAAGAACCTCATTTTGAGTATAGAAAACTGAGCATAAGTAGTATTTTGATTGACAGCCAAG